TCCCTGCCTTAGGAAACATCAGTTTGAATACGCAATAGTATCCAAAGTGTTATGAAAGTATTACACTGGTATTAAAGGATGCACTGCCCATCCATTCTTGAATCTGCTGCTTCACAGCAAAAAAAAAAAAAAAAAAAAGTGAAAAAGTGTCCTGCAGGTTTGATCTTTTATGCTTGAGAGATCTAGTAAGTTTTTCACACTCCTTAATCAATTGATATAATAGGCAAGAAACCTGGTGGTGCAAAGTTGGATGTACACACAAACACTTCATATTTTGGTGGCATGAACCTGGAGTTCATATCTAGATAGCATCCCTGTCAGAGGCAAAACTAAGCTTTCAAAATCCTTACCTAGGAAGAGCGCATATTGACTTCAGAGGATACTTCTTCCCAGAGAAAAACTGTGTCAAGAAATTCAGAGCTAGTTGTTTGTCCCCTGTAGAGTGCTGCTTCTCTTGCTGAAGAGACTTACAGCACCTGTGGGCATGCAGGTGGGTAACAGCACTTGGGTGAACTCATGATTACTCTCACCTTCAGCAGGGTGTTTCCATCTTTTCTTAATATCAGCTTAGGAGATAAACAAACAAACAAAAAATAAAGCAAACAATAAAACCAAAAAGCTAGAGTAGAGGCCACAGGCAGGGCTTCTGACCATTTGAATAATTTAAACCTATTTCTGCAGTAGTCTCCTGAAAGGCAAAGCCTATGACAGCACAGCCTGCCCATCCATTAGCATATTCTTAGCTCAGGAGTATGGGACTTTGAGTAATATCTTCTAACACAGACCCACTGTGGGGATTAGAGGAGAAAGGAACAACCAGTAACTCACCAATGACAGTGCTGTGTCTCTCTCTCTCATATCACCTCCAGCTTTTCTTCTCAGAGGGCAGCAGAAGGTCCTTAAGCCCAGAGCAAACGAAAGCCCCTTGTTGTACCACCACTGCAATGGGCCTTGTGTTGAAACGGTCCCTCAGGAGAGACAGCAGCCAGCTGGAAGCATATTTGCCAACAGCACCATTGATCATCAGCTGCTGGTAGCCTAAAGCAACTCTTTTGGACAACTAAAATTGCATCTGGTTTTGTAACAAAGACTCCTCTGCTGTCCCCATCATCCCCTCACCCCCACGAAAAAAAACCAAAAACAACCCCCCAGAATTCTCTCTTTTGCCCTGTGATGAAGAATGAAATGGCTCTGAAAAATAACCTGGTTTGCCACCTCCTCCTGCTAGTCCTGCTGGCTGCCTCCTGCATTGGCTTCACTCTGCAGCAGCCTGTAAGCAGGATCTGCAGTTCAGGCAGAAGGGGAGAGAAAAGCTGGAGGAGGAGGAGGAGGGAGGGGAAAGGCAGAGAGGCTACATACCTAGAAAGCCAGGGCTATTCCTGCTGCCCACCCTGGAGGCACCACCTCCACATCAGGCAGGAGTAACGGAGGGAAAATCTGGCGCTCTAGATTTAACAAGCTCACTTTCCTGTAATTGGGGCCCTCAGGCACTGTTGTAGTGCACCTAATGGCACTAATTATTAATGAATCAGCCCTGATGAATAGGAAGGCTGAACTGGCCTCTGTCTCCTTGGGTTGTGAGCCTTTCACAAGGCCTACTGGATTTCACTGGGCAGGAAAGCAACTGCACAGATTTAATCAGGGCCCTGGAAAGGAAGGGGAGTAGAAGACTCACCTATACATTTGTCCCTAGCCTGTGCAAACCATCCAGGGACCAGAAGTGCCTTGCTGCTTCTTCTGAGGAGTAGGTGTAGCCATCAGAAAGTCCTGCAGGAAATGGGTACTGCACCTTAATTTATACCTCCCTGCTGCACCTGTAAGGACCAACCCATCTGCCCTCGTTACCATTCAGACAGCTTTTCTCCTTTTGTGTGTCCTGGCTCAAGCTTTTGCTCCCCACGCAGGCCCACTCCATTTCTCTGTTACAGCCTTTGAACGGGAACAGATGAGAAAGGGACCTTTTTTTACCCTTTAAAGCAAAAAAAAAAAAAAAAAAAAAAATCGACCACCACCTCATCCCGGCCACGTCGGAGGCAGCCGGGGCAGGGGAGCACGGCACAGCCCCCCCTCCAGAGCCGAGCCGGGCTGCGAAAAGGTGGAGGCTGGCAGAGAGCAGTCGATTGCCAAGGAGGGGTTCCTCCGGCGCCGGGGGGAAGGGGGGAGCCAGCTTCCCGCCGCCCCCGGGGACTGCGGGGCTGCAGTTGCTCGGTCGGAGCCGGGGAGACGGGAATTAGGGCAGGCGGAGCCGCAATGGCTGCAGCCCTCCCCGGGTACCCAGCCAGCTAGAAAGGCACTGCCTTGTCTTTTGTTTCAGCGGTGGTTTTTTTTCCCTGTTGATCTGGGGTTTTTTTTTTTCCTTGTGTGTGTGTATTTTTTTTTAAGTGGGAGACAATTTTCCCGTGGTAACATGTCAACGTTTAAAATCTTTTCTGCTGTGATTTTTCCCCCCACCTCTCTACCTCACCAGCTCAGGTTTGCCCAGGAGTTGAGGGGTGTTCGGAGGCTTGAACCTCTCCAGCTTTTGCTGCAGCAACTGCCTGGGGCTGCGGGACCAGCCCGGCCAGAGACCCCGCAGCCCCCCGCCTCAGCCCCCTCCTGCCAGCCCTTGTAAACCCTACGGGAGCAAGGCGACAGAAGGGCAAACCGAGTACGCTCAGTCCCTGCCCTGGGACTTGGGGAAAAGCTCATCTTTCCTTGGCCACAAAACAAGGCAAGGCAAAGCAACCGTCCCCGGGTTAAAGCAAAAATCCACTCAGCCTTCGGAAACAGCACCTGGAAGGGGCAGAAGGGGGAACAGCCCATGCCTTGCGCATTGAGGGGCTCTTATAAAATAAACAGGGCGGGGGGAAGTAGGGGATTGATTGGGTGCTCACGTTGCCTGAAAAAAATACCAAGCTGCCCCTTGCCAGTTGCCCGGGGGCAGCTCAGCCGGAGGGACCGGGATTTGCTGCCGTCCCTGCCGGAAAACCCGGGGGTGCAATAGAGGTTTTGGAAAAGCATATACCTCCTGGCGCCCCGGCTCCCCCGGGATGGCCGGTACCCGGCCTGCGCCCCGGGGATGGACGCTAATTGTTTTTAGAAGCCCGAAACGGGATCCTGCCCAGGAGGTGTCCGGGGGGGCGGCAGGAAAGAGGCTGGGGCACGGCCACCGGCACCACCGGGCATCATCCTCCTCTTCCTCCTGCCTCCGCCTCCAGCCCCCTCCCGACTCTCTTGGCTGTTTCCCCCCGGTTTGCCACCGTTTTATCATTCGCCTCAACGCAGGGCTAATTGAGGGATGTGCTAATTACGGAGGGATTATCCATTAGTAATTCAACCTCACGCGCAGATAACTCGAGTCCACTAATGAGCTGGAAATCGCCCCCTTATTAGGGAGTCTTAGCTTTCTGCCGAGAGGGGTGAGGAAAAGCCGGGAGGCTTCTCTCCCACCCTCCTCCGACGGACGAGCACCGTCCAGCAGCCGGGAAGATGGGGGTCGCGGCGGGAGCACCGGTGCCGGCAGCGGACAGGACCGGAGCCCGGGCAGCCCGGGGGGAAGCAGGTCTGGAAGGTCCCCGGGACCCGGCCATAGGAGACATCCAGCCCCTGGCACCCCAGCAAGGGCCCTCTCTCCCCTCTCTCCTCGGCAGCTGGCATTTCGTGCTACAGGAAATGGTACAGGCAGCGCCTGACCTCATGAATACAGAGATGTGCACAGGAAAAAAAAAAAAATCAATTTAGGTCTAGATCCTCTGTGGGGAGGGAAAAATAACCCAAACCATTTAAACAAAGCTCTGCTCTCCAGGGTTTTCCTTTTTCTTTGGTGGTGGTGGGGATTGAGTCTAGAGGGAGGGCAAAGGAAAACGAAATGCAAGCAGACCTGCGCCTGCCGGAGCGAGGCTGAGCCCCGCAAAGCCCCCCCCCAACACACACATAATGTATTTTATCATTAAAAAATCAACATTGCTTCCAGTGGTAAAAGGCGCCTGGCTCCAGTTCCTGAGCGCATTCGTTGCTGGGATTCAATCCGTTTGGGAAATGCAGATTGGCTCGCGACCCACTGTTTGATTTATGAACTGTTACATTTGCTATTGCTTACACATTACATTGCGGACCTGGGGAAGGAAGGGGAGCGGGGAGAGAGGGCGAAGGAGAGAAGAGAGACCCTGCCACCTTCCACATTGGCAAAGGAGAGCTATTGCTTTCCACCGGAATACATCACCTCAAACCAATTCGCGGCCCCTACCCCTCCATCACCCCCTCACCCACCCACCCCCGCTCGCCAGCTCGGCTCTCGCCTTAGAAGTAAAAAGGACGTGTTTACTCTTTGATGTGTATTTCTTTATAAAGGCACGAGGCGCCTATAAATAGCCGAGGTTAGAGCAGCTTCTGCTGCGAAATCAATATCCCGTCCCCGTCCCCCCCCTTCCCCTTGCTCCTTCGGTTGATCTGCCTTATTAATTATGAAAGGGCTCCTCTGCGCCCCGGCTCCAGCTCCGCAGCCTCCTCCTTAATGGTGGTTGCTGCTCTCCCTCCGCCGGGGCTCCGCGCTGCTCCGCACCCGCGGGACCGCCGCGCCTCCCACCTCTGCCCCCGAGGGGGGTCCTGCGCCGGGCCCCGGGCAGCTGGGAAACGGGGGTGATGCCGTTTTGGGTTTCGGGAGGAGGAGGAGGAGGAGGGTGGGAGAATTTATAGCATTTTTTTTTAGAAAAAAAAGGTAAAAAAAAAAAAAAAAGGGAGGTCTGAGACTAACCAATTCAGCCGCCCTGTCCTTGTCTGAACCGAAATCGCCATCTTCATCAAGGGATCGCTTCAGGATTTTGCCCTTCCTTGCCTTCAAAGCCCTGTTCTCTTCAAGACAAGTCTAGGCGTATTTTATAAAAAGGACGACACCCTCATTTCAAACAATAATTTTTATTTTATACTTCTGTCTATACTTTGTAGCAAATCTTTTTTTTTTGTTATTTTTTTGCTGAATTGACTTTATAATAAACTTTTGTTTAAATTACATTTTTCTTCTCTTTTAAAATCAAGGCTCTTTTTTTTTCAAAATCATGTTGCTGTTGTTGGTGGTTTTTTGTTTTTTATTTTTTTTTTTCTTTAGGTTTACATTTAAGCCCCCTTTTTGTGATCTCTACGGTTGGATATTCAGGTATTTTACTGGTATGTGTAACATCTAAAACAAAGAGGAGGAAAAAATCAAAGGCAGTGAATTCGGAAAGATGCCTTCAAACAGCAAGTAAAGGTAAACTCTCAGAGATCTGTTAGCAGCATTCCTTCCGGGCATTTGGAAACATCGCTTTCTTTTGCCCTTCCCTCCCTCCCGTCCTTCCCTCCTTCTTTCCTTTCTTCCTTCCTTCCTTCCTTCACTGTTCGTTTCCCTCTCCCGCTCGCTCTCTCGCTCTCTTTTCCCCTCGAGGAAAAATGTTCTCTTTTATTTTTATTATTTTTTTTTCGCAGTGGAATGACCAGAAAACAAGCGACTGTGGAGGAAAGATGAGAGATTGTGAATTATTCACCATATGCTTCACACGTGGACATCTACCTTGGATTCATCGCCAGTGCCTTTTTTGTTTTGTTTTGTTTTGTTTTTTTTCTTTTTGGCTGCGTTTTTGTTCTCGCCTCGCACACTGCCACATTTTTAGAGGAGCCCGTGGCCCGGCGGGAGGTATCCCGTGTCCTGGCCGATTACAACCTTAACATTAGGTGGCCCAGAGCCGTTCCTGAGATTGCTTTTGCACAACGAGGGCTCGAGTTTGTATTTTTATTATTATTATTATTATTTTCTCTCTATTTTTGATTCGAAGCGATAGTAAAGCTGAGGTCCGATTTGGGCTGCGCGCCGCTGCCTGTTTGGTAACATTTGGCAAATAAAACACAAAAAAAATTTAAAAATAAAATAATAAAGGGAGAACGCTTCCACAGTCCTACATGGGTGTTTCACCATCAGCCACCACCACCACCATCATCATCATCAAACCACAGAAAAGCACAACGTCCCCAAAGCAACGGATGGACACTTCCTCGATAGATCCAGCACATGGAGAGGGTGTGGGTGTGAGTGTGCTCGCCCCCCCGCCCCCCCCCCTAAAAAGGCAGCCAGGTCACTAGGGCGGCCCACAGAGCCGCCAGCAGCAGGGGCAAGGCCGGCGGGAGGAGGGAGGGTGCCGCGCCGCTGCCGCCTCCGCACAGTTCAAATAAGCTGCCTTGGAAATCGAGGTTTTTGGATTCCCGTCTCAATTTCTCCCAGAGGTCTGTCGCTCCTTCCTGGCAATCGGTGAGCGCTGTGAGGGTACAGGCGTGGAAATCATCCCAGTACCTGCAGGAGGGGGAGAGCAGCCGGCATCAAAACAGCTCCCGCCCTAAAACCCGGTTCCTGCCCCCCCACTCCCCCCTCCCACCCGAGACACCGGTTTCTGGGAGGAATCCTCGCCCCCTTGCCTTCCCCGGGCTGCCCCATAGCCCTCCCCGTACCTAGGCTTTGCGCTGAACACCGGCTTTCCTCCCAGCTCCCGGGGGGGCTGCCCCCGGCTGCGGTTTCGGGGGTCCCCATCCTCCCCAACCCCGCCATGGGCATCAGCTCGGAATGGGGCAAAAATTGCTTTGGTGGGTGCTTGTCGGAGGGGTCTTTGCCTGCCGCGGGGAGGGGACATGCACCCCTCGGCTGGCAAACGCTATCCTGGGAGCCCACGGGCTCGTCCCGAGGGTTTTTCGTCACCGGTGGGAGAGAGAAGGTGTGGGGGGAAAGGCATCGCTTTTCCCAGGGAGAAACGGCATCCTGGAGGGTCCCGATGCGGTTCGGGAGGGATCCCCCGGGGCGGGAGAGGGCCTCGACTGCGGGGTTAGAAAGGGAGGAGGAGGAGGAGGGGAAAAGGAGGAGGAAGAGGAGGAGGAGGGAGGAAGGAGCGTCTTCCCCTCCTGGGCGCGGGAGACTCCTCATCCGTTGCGCCAGGGGTCTATGTGCAGCAAAGGGCTGCTTCTTCCCCAGGATAATTTGCATCTGTTCCCACACGTTTTTCCTTTTAATTCCTTTTAATTTCCTTTAATTTTAACCCCTCTTCGCGGGGTCTGGACCGGGGTTTCCCAACGGGGCAGGACCCGTCCCACTGCCCCACCGAAGCGGGGCGGGCGGACCTTTCCTCTCCGCGTCTGGGTTATCGAAAGTCACCCCGAATCTGCCTTTCTCTCTCCCTATTTTCCCTCAAGGCAGCAGCGCCTGCAAATTTGGATCTCGATTTTCCTTTTTTTTTTTTTTTTTTAGAGTAGTCCTACAGCCTCTAATTTATGAGCACTCTAAGCGGGTTGTAGACTCCCAATGTTTGCTACATTTGTAATAAATAATGAGATACTGAGAAGCCAGAGTCTGAGAGTGTGCCTCTCCTGCAGTATTTCTGCTGTAATTGCATCTCCCAAAGGAAAATTAAATCTTTCCCCATCCTCTCTCAATACACATCCCGGCACAGGGTGAAGGCAATCGGGTGGTGGGAGGTGGTCGGGGAAAGGGTCTTGCTTGGAAAAGAGGTACTTTTTACAGATCGGGACCACCTCTAGTCTGGCGCTCCAGGGCCAAAGGACATCATGTCAGGACGCTGCTGCCCCATGGTATTTATTTCTTATGCAAGACACAAGATAAACCACAACCTAGCATTTACAGCGAGGTGCCAGCCTTAGTAGGTGCAGAAAAGTCATGCTTGGCTCAGAAATCTCTAGGCAGGAAGAGAAGAGAGGGGAGTTACAGGGTCTTTCTTTTCCTTTTCCTTTTCCTTTCCCTTTCCCTTTCCCTTTCCCTTTCCCTTTCCCTTTCCCTTCTTCCTCTCCTCTCCTCTCCTCTCCTCTCCTCTGTTTCCATTTCATCCTCTCCTCTCCTCTCCTCTCCTCTCCTCTCCTCTCCTCTCCTTCCACATCCTTCGTTTTCTGATTTTCGGGGAGCAAAATTAAAAAAAAAAAAAATATTCCAAACATATTTATGTCCAATGACCTCATCTCATTTCTAAATATCACTTGATTTTAGGCTTGGGTTTTTTTTCGGCTGAGGGAGTTCGTGCCGAAAAACAGCAACCAGGAGATAGAAGAGTACAATGTACAGCCATTTTTTTAATTTTTTTTTTATTTTCCCAGACGTAACGAAAATGCCCGTTTCTGCGTCCCTGCCGGGGACACGGGATCCCGAAGTGGGGCGGGCGAGGCCGGACCTGGCGGCTCCCACCCCCCCCCCAGCTGCCCCAGGTTTCTCTCCCCCTGGTAACATCCTCCGCCCTGAGCTCTAGGGAAAACTACCCCAAATTTAGGGCTCCTCCAGCTGTCCCAGTTCCTCCAGCTTCGCAGAGGAGCTGGGGAGGAGGGGAGCAAGGAACCGATTTTGCAAGGCAAGCACTTTTTCTCCTTTTGTTATTTTTGTTGTTGTTTTCCTTTTTTTTTTTAATTATTATTATTATTCCCCTTTATCGTTGCCCCCTTCTTCCTCCTCCCCTCTGTGTCAGGGGTGAAAATGGGGGGAAACAGGCTTTCCCGGGGATAAGGTGGGCCCGACCGGTGCTGGCGGGGGGGTAGAGGAGAGCTGCCGCTGGGAGATTAATACTGTGGCTGGGGTATTTTAATTTTTAATTAAATTGTATTTTCCGGGGAATCGCCTCCTCAGCCCCGTCTGGGGTGAGCTGCCTCCCCCCGGCCTGCCTCTGCCTGGAGCACCCGGGGGGACCCCCAGAGCCTGCCAGGGAACGTGGGTCCCAAAGGCAGCACTAAGGAAAGGGGGATGACAACCCCCGTGCAGCTAATGATGTCAACGTCCCAGCGCAAAGCAGGGGGAAGGAAAGGATACAAGTGAGGAGCTAGGGAGGGGAGGGGGGAAAAAAAAAAAAAAAAAAAAGAGGGAAAAAAAAAAAACAACCCACGCAGAAAAACGAAAAAATTACATTTTTGGGGAAAAGGAAACCGAAAGAGGATATTGTAAAAACTCCCTCTAGACTTCACAGTTCCCCAAGTCCGACCTGTCCCCGTGGCAGTCCGCTTGGAGGGGGCCCACGAAGCAGAGACTCCAACCCCAAAACACCAAACCGCCTGTTCCTTCCCTTCCCACCACAACCCATCCTACCTTGCCCCCCGCTTCCCCAGCCCCGGGTCGCCCCCCGAGTC